CCCACCACCACACCACCACACCACACACCACCACACACCACCACCACACACCACCACCACACACACCACCACCACACCACCCACACACCACACACCCACACACCACCACCACACCACCACCACACACCCCACACACCACACACCCACCACCACCACCACACACCACCACCACACACCACCACCACACACCACCACCACACACACCACCACCACACACCTACCACCACACCACACCACACACACACACCCCACCACACACACACCACCACACACCACCACCACACACCTACCACCACACACCACCACCACCACCACACACATACCACCACACACCTACCACCACACACCTACCACCACACACCTACCACCACACACCTACCACCACACACCACACACTACCTACCACCACACACCTACCGCCACATACCACACGCACACACCTACCACCACACACCTACCACACACACCTACCACGCACACACCTGCCACGCACACCTCTCTAGTTGTGTACCACGTTAATTGCATCAAATAAAAGTCACGCAGTAAACTCATGAAGGATTTTATTGAAAGCAACTCACAGAAGACGATAATTTGGTTTTTGTGCGTGACCATATTGGTTTTTGATTTTACCATGGTGTGGCGAATGTTTTTGGTTAATGTTCTTATTATCCTCGTACTGTACGTGAAGCATACTCGTGGAGGCAGATTTTAGTGGTTAAATCCTGGTTGGTTAGGTTTTTTTTTTTTTTTGTGATGGTCCAGAGATTTTTTTTTTTAATGGGTTTTCAATCAGGGAAATTCTTCATCACATCAGTACTTTTTTTGATTCATGTTTTACAGAAGGTTGGGTTAGTGTTGTGGATGTTTGACATAGGACAAGATCATGTTGATAACCTAACCTAAGAGTCTTTTAAGTGTGTCTTTTTATATATTAATAATGCCTCACACGAGCCTAGTAATGAAAGTACAGGTAAGACTCTTAATTATCACTGAGGGCTGCAGGTTTTAAATGTTAGTCAACGTGCTCCTTTCTTTAACTATTCACTTAAGTGTTATCAAGTGAAGAGAATATCGGACACTTGCTATGTAGCCTTGTTGATCAGCGAGAGTCTAATGAGGTTTTATATGTGAACGTTGCAAGAAGTAACTTATTAAGCTACTCGACATGTTGTTATAAGACCAGTGTGTGTGTGTGTGTGTGTGTGTGTGTGTGTGTGTGTGTGTGTGTGTGTGTGTGTGTGTGTAGTCCGTGTATCTGAACACTTCTCAACATCTTTAGTGCAATGTTTAGTGCGTGTAAAGTACATAGAGTATTATTAATTAAAACTATTGGTTATACCGGTACATAAATTTTTTAATTTTTAATTTTGAAGCAGACAGCAGCTAGTTTATTGTGCACCCCCCATGCTCCTCCTGTGAGCGGTAACGCAAAAAGGATTTCAGAGTAGAGGCCACAAAGGGTGTTTATCAGACCCCAGCGAGTTTTTTTATTTGGCAATGAATATTACAGAGTATTTCCAGTACATTGTTTATTGAAGTTGGTACATAGAATTTTGATTTTGTACTAGTTGCGAAGTGTGGATACAGCCTTAGTATATCAGGAATCTTGTCATCAGAGATAAAAGTGTTTGTGCCATTGCATGCACAGTGTGCTTGAATCTACCCCTAGAGGGTTCTATTTTTTTCACAGTAAGACTGTTGGAGTGTGTGGCCAGATGTCTGGCCGTACATTTTACATTTAGTTTTGTTCACATTTGCCGAGCGCAGTAAAGCACACGTTCCTCTGACATGTTTTTTTTATAGGGGTCACCGTTCGAGTGCACACTTGAAGAACAAATGAACTAAGTACTTTTTACAAAGCCTTAGTCATCAAGTTCGCCTACACTTGTTTACTATTTCCCCAAATAAAAGTAGGCAAACAGCACACAAACAGTCCACCAGTTTAAATGTTCCGAAAATGGAATAAAACAATCTTACAGTTTTCCAGGATCATGGAAAGGTTTTTATGAAAGAGGATACAAGGTTGTCTTTTACTGAGAGTCTACAAGTTAGTTTCGTGGGTCAAGTTCCCGGGAGCCTCTCCTATGGCAAGTCGCCATCAACTGTGCATCAAATCTTGACCATGAAGGGCCAGGGGAAAGCAGAAACAGGAATAGATGAATTACATGAAAAATTCCGTCCCCAGAGAGATGCAAAATCTGGAGGATTAGAAAAAACAGCTCGAGAACGGTTAGAGTAGAGGACTGTGGTCGCCAACCAACAGATATAAGGATGGTATTCCGAATGATTGAGTGAGTATCGTTCCTAGTTCCCACTTCATCTAACTGGTCATGCTTTGTTGGTCCTCATGTATAGAGATCACTATATAATAAAGGGATTCTCTTTTTTTAGGTTTAAATATGTAGCATTTGTGTAATATTTATTCCATCTATACTCACATCAAAGTTAAGGTACCATCTTTGTGTTCGGTAATAAAAGAACCATGGATCAAACGCCAGCTTTACTTGCGATAGTCTGCATAATTATATCACGAGCTTCTGAAATTGTTATTTTATGGAATGCTCTTAACCTTCCATTAAGGTTTTACAAAAGAAAGGCTCGAAGTATACCTGTACTGATGTCATAATGGTTTGTGAACACCAGGTCAATATTTTACGTACTTAACGTGAAGGAATGGAGGGTGAGGAATGGGCAGTGATGGGTGGTGGGGGAGAAATGAGCATTGATGGGTGGTGGGGGAGGAATGGGCAGGAATGGGTGGTGGAGAAATGAGGTGATGGGTGGTGGGGAGGAATGAAAGATGGGTGGTGGGAGGAATGAGTAGGGATGGATGTGGGGAGGAATGAGCAGTGATGTGGTGGAGGAGTGGGTAGTGATGATGGGAGGAATGAGCAGTGATGGGTGTGGGGAGGAATGGAGTGATGGGTGGTGGGGGAGGATTGGACAGTGATGGGTGGTGGGGAGGCATGAGCAGTGATAGGTGGTGGGGTACGGATGGACAGTGATGGGTTTTGGGAGGAATGGGCAGTGATGGGTGGTGGGGGTGATAAATCAGTTATGGTGAAGTGAATAAATGTAAATCTATGTCTGTAATAGTATTTACATATTTCATATACAGTTTATAAATACTGTACATACACACACACACACACACAAATATATATATATATATATATATATATATATATATATATATATATATATATATATTAGGCACAGTGTCTGTCTGTTTGTGTAGATCTTCGCTATACGTGGCTCCGGTTTTAAAGACACAAGCCTCCCAGAAAAGTCAGGAAGAAAGAATTTTGGAGCGTTGGCTCCAGTGGTCGGCTTACTTATTTAAATAGCCCTGAAAATGCTCTTGGTGGGATGTTGTGGCTGCCCTCATTGTGGTTAAATTTACTTTGTCAAAACAAGCCCGGGCTAACGCTTTACATAAGGATACAAAAATTCAAAGATATACATGCTGGGATTACATATATTTGTATAATAGTACAGTTTCCATTTGTGAATAATTATACCAGTAACAATGGTTATAAAATCTTGCAGTATTACAAGCTGGCAATAACAGTGTTCTACTTTAGAACAGTACTATTAGCGCTTGTGTTCCTCGGGGTACTGTAAGGTGCACAACTCTCCTGCCAACGAACTTGAAATGAGACAAAGCTGTCCGTCACTACATCACCATCACTAGCATCATCACCATCACTAACATCACCTCCATCACCACTATCACTAACATCATCATCATCACCACTGTCACTAACATCATCACCATCACCACCATCACTAGCATCATCACCATCACTAACATCACCACCATCACCACTGTCACTAACATCACCATCATCACCACTATCACTAACATCATCACCACTATCACTAACATCATCACCACTATCACTAACATCATCACCATCTCCACTATCACTAACATTACCATCACCACTGTCACTAACATCACCATCGTCACCACTATCACTAACATCATCACCACTATCACTAACATCACCACCATCACCACTGTTACTAACATCATCACCAATTATCCCTTAACATCATCACCAATTATCACCAACATCACCACCATCACCACTATCACTAACATCATCACCACTGTCACCAACATCACCATCATCACCACTGTTACTAACATCATCACCACCATCCCAACATCATCACCACTATCACCAACATCACCACCATCACCAATTATCACCAACATCATCACCACCGTCACCAACATCACCACCATCACCACTATCACTAACATCATCACCGCCGTCACCAATACCACCATCACCATCATCATCAACATCATCACCACCGTCACTAACATCACCACCATCACCACACTATCCTAACATCATCACCACCATCACTACTAACATCACCACCTGAATCACCATCACCAACATCATCACCATCATCACCAACATCACCACCATCACCATCATCACTAACATCATCACCGCCAACCAACATCACCACCATCACCACTATCACCAACATCATCACCACTATCACCAACATCACCACCATCACCACTATCATCAACATCATCACCGCCGTCACCAACATCACCACCATCACCACTATCACTCAACATCATCACCACCGTCACCAACATCACCACCATCACCACTATCACTAACATCATCACCACTGTCACTAACATCACCACCATCACCACTATCACTAACATCATCACCACTGTCACTAACATCACCACCATCACCACTGTCACTAACATCATCACCATCACCACTGTCACTAACATCATCACCACTATCACTAACATCACCACCTTCACCACTATCACTAACATCATCACCACTATCACTAACATCATCACCACTATCACTAACATCACCATCATCACCACTATCACTAACATCACCATCATCACCACTGTCACTAACATCATCACCACTATCACTAACATCATCACCATTGTCACTAACATCACCATCATCACCACTATCGCTAACATCACCATCATCACCACTATCACTACATCACCACTGTCACTAACATCACCAAACCTGCTTCTTGTATTCCTTGTACCAGTCATAGATGAAGTCTATGAACCGGCTTTCCTCTTGACTGTGAGTCTTCGTATCCGAAAACGTGTTTCTCCTAACATGGTACACGTGTACATAATTGCATCACTGCATTTCTAACAGTGCAAAGGGAAGAAAGGTACAAATTGGATTCTTTTGTTACTTTAAAACTACCTTTGACATTGGTAATAAACAACTCAAGTTGTACGACCTAGCCCTAATAGACAAAGAAGGTCGTCTGTTATATTTGATATGTAAAAATCTCAGACACAGAAGGGCAGTTGCACTGTTTCAGGGTTACAGACGTCATGTTAAACATTTGCAACTTGGCACTCCCTAAGGTGGAGTACTTAGTCCCACTGTTCGATGTACTCATGAATGCACCGATAAAGTCTGGTCTAAACAGCCCCAGCAATATCACTATTAGCTATGCAGTTGGCATTGTCGTACATAGTAAAACTCATCGTGAAATACTAGCTACCCTAAACCATGAACTGTACGTACAGCCAATCCAAAAAGTATGGAGACTCCAGAGTCCGGGAGAACAGTAACCGAGCAATAACCTGAGACGCGTTCATGTATCAGTTGGGATGGTATTATCCCGATGTTTCATATTCTTTCGGACGCCCGGGGTCTCGATATTTTTTGGATTGGCTACACATGCAGCCTGTGAGAACCTTGGTCTCAGCTCCACTGTGAAAACACAATATGTTCAACAAACAAGCTGAAACTGCAAACGTGCACAATTAAAGCTTAAGAACGGTCCCAAACACTGTCAGCTACAATGCTGGATACCCAAGTCTGTAACATTTAATCTATATCCACATTTTACATCTAGTGTATAATTCAACACACTCCTTAACATTCAGTGTCACAACTTCCTGAGCACTGTGGTCTGTTAAACAACTTTTATGACGTCTACTCTGTAATCATTTTTGCGCTACCTCATAGGATGAATATGATGAGGTGCACAATAAACTAGTCGGAAAATTTCATATATTCAATTGAACATTCTTCTCCAACAACGGCAATACAACATGTTACATTATGGTTCAGTTGGAGGAGCTTTGACCCAGAGCCGTGAAGGTGTTGCAGCACAAGTGGTCAGCCAACAGTGGACGGGACCTTCTGTTCTCATCCTCCCACAGTCGGGTGGGGCTGACATCCGGGTTCTTCACTCTTCATCCTCATCTCTCTGAAATTGGAACCTTTGTGACAGTTGAACCTCTACAGTATTGAACCTCCACTATCACTCCCACAATCACCATCACCACCAGAATCATCATCACCACCAGAATCACCGTCACCACCTAACATATAGTATCGATAATAATCACCACCAATAATTCCAACCGCTTTATTACGTTATTATCACAACAACCACAATCGACCGTAATTACCTTTTACCTACAATCATCAGTTCACTTCCTCTCAACCACAATCACCAGTCACTACTTCTCAACAAAAGCCACCAGTCACTGCCTCATAACCACAGCCACCGGTCAATGCCTCATAACCACAGTCACCAGTCACTGCCTCATAACCACAGTCACCAGTCACTGCCTCATAACCACAGCCACCAGTCACTGCCTCATAACCACAGTCACCAGTCACTGCCTCATAACCACAGTCACCAGTCACTGCCTCATAACCACAGTCACCAGTCACTGCCTCATAACCACAGTCACCAGTCACTGCCTCATAACCACAACCACCAGTCACTGCCTCATAACCACAGTCACCAGTCACTGCCTCATAACCACAACCACCAGTCACTGCCTCATAACCACAACCACCAGTCACTGCCTCATAACCACAACCACCAGTCACTGCCTCATAACCACAACCACCAGTCACTGCCTCATAACCACAACCACCAGTCACTGCCTCATAACCACAGTCACTACCTCTCAACCATAGCCAGCAGCATCCCCTCCAGTATCACCTGTACATCACTTACCAGTTTGCAGTTTAGTAGAAGGTTCGCTGACACAACGACTTGAAGTTCACGTCACACTGTCTGTCTCCCACAAAGTGAAAATCTCCTTGTACCAGCATCCGTGCACAGTCTGTCGGGCTACCGTCTGGGTCATTAGGTCCCCACTCACTAACAGTCACGGCACGATCGTCCACCCACTTTTGATCCCTCACTCCGACCCACACCTCTGTAAAGTTTGAACCATTGTAAACGTATAAGCAACTGAATGATTATATTTCTGATAATTATATAATGTTTGTTTAAAAGAATTATACTCAACGACAAATTATGTTTCAATCGGCCAAGGCAAATTTAAGTTAGAGAGCTCACTGACAATAATCGTGTACACTATACTAACGGTCTGATAGAAAATCTTGGAGGTAGTTTTGCAAAGTCTTGAAGTTTCCGGTGGCAACAAAGAGATCAGCACCCATGGTTATACAACAGTCTCTAGCATCGTCCCACGTCTTCTCCACGATGTTTAGGTATATACAACCCAGACCAGGCACCTCCAAGAAAGGATCTGCGCAGACTCGCATATCTGTAAATAGGAAAATAATTAATTAAAATTGTCCCTATAGCAGTACTTGATGAAAATTTCCGTCAGTAATGTTCCAACTGCGTCATCCACACAGTAGTGGACAGTTCACATTTTGATAACTTTCCTGTCAATGTTGTTCTTTCTCCTATCCTGTTCTTAATCTATATTAATGATTAATGACCTACTCAACATTCCTTCCAGCAGTAACTTCCTTTGCTGGTGTTGCTCAGTAACACAAAAGTTTATTCTGTAACTCTACTGCCCAAGCCCAGTCAAATCTCTCAGTTGATCACCTAAATTTTAGAGCTGCTTTAAACATTGTTGAGTTCTCAGCTCAGTGTTGAGCAAGTAACCCTGATACTCTCGACGCCTCCACTGCCCAAACTCTCGCAAACAGGATCATTTTACAGCCTTCACATGCACTCAGTAACATCCCCATTATACCAACTACTTATATCAATACCGTAATTAATCTTCTCAACAACCACCTCGCTTACAACAATGCAAATAATGCATCCACAAGATATTTTTCCTTCGGGCTCGTCCAAACATTGCATAATTTCTTACATTTTACTTCACCCATGTAGGCTCTCACGTGGGATATTAGGTGCTGCACAGTCCTACTTATTACTGTGAGACGAAATAATTCTAAAACAATTCTCATCAATAACCAGTCCCTCACTTCCTCCAGATATGACAGTTCAACACTTTTCCTGTGCCTTCATGTTTATTGTAAGATAGAGTAGTTGGGGTGCACATTAAGGAAAACCTGCTGACTAGAACAAGGAGCGGGAAACTCAGTAATAAATTATGGGATCTTACCTGAGGTTATTGGACCGAAAACTTTATTCCAGCACACCATGAGGGTACAGTCGTCCAGGTTGCTACTGCCATGATCATAAACGATGTCATTAACAACACACTCTGAAACAAGACGACACAAATACAGTACTTCAAGAGGTCAACGAGGGAGCCATGTGTGTGTGATAACATATTATATTTTCTGATATCATAAATCTTTGCCAGCGTCAATAACTGAGGATATTTAATGCACCATTATGTTGTAGTATTGTAGTGACGTAACGCACAGCTATTGTGAAGTGACAACTTACAATGTTAATGCTTCATTAGTCAGTTACCTGGTTGAGTAGGTTAATACAACAAGGTCACTAGGGCCAGGTAGGTTGTGTAAGTTAATGCAACAAGGTCACTAGGGCCAGGTAGGTTGTGTAAGTTAATACAACAAGGTCACTAGGGCCAGGTAGGTTGTGTAAGTTAATACTACCTGGTCACTAGGGCCAGGTAGGTTGTGTAAGTTAATACTACCTGGTCACTAGGGCCAGGTAGGTTGTGTAATGTGTAAGTTAATACTACCTGGTCACTAAGGCCAGGTAAGTTGTGGAAGGTAACACTCCAAAATCACTAGGACCAGGTAAGGTATTTCACCATAAAGTAGTCGGGTCTTGCAGGTGGTAGTGTCACCCAGGTTGGACTCGTCATCGTAGCCGCCGATCTTAGCGTCGTAGAGGGAACAGGTGTCGTCCTCGTAGGTGAACATGTACGACCATTCTGTCTGGGTTGCTTTTATGGCACAAATGGTCTGACTGTGAAAGTTGGTGGTGGTGAAAGACTTTGCGGGGGACAACTTAGAAGTGGAGATTTTTGCCGGGTACCATATCTTGGCCTCCGCGTTGACGTCTGGCACGGTGACCATCACCACCACCACAACGACCCACAACGACATCACCACACGAGGCCACATCTTGGACGACCTCCCTGAGCGAGTGCGAGGAGCAAACTGATGTGCAGTATCCACAAAATATTATTAGTCCCTGTATCGAGCGTCCTAAGAAATACTAATGTATCCATTTACAGTTCTTTAATGGATATAAGCCTGTTCGTGCATAGCACTTTACTTGTTCCTTTGAATTTTTGTTTTTATTAGTGGGTACTGTAAGTAATATTGTGGTCACCGTCTGAAAGTAAACTTGAAGAACAAATGAACTAAGAACTTTTTTATAAAGCCTTAGTCATCAAGTTCGCCTACACTTTACTATTTCCCCAAATAAAAGTAGGCAAACAGCACACAAACAGTCCACCAGTTTAAATGTTCCGAAAATGGAATAAAACAATCTTACAGTTTTCCAGGATCATGGAAAGGTTTTTAATGAAAGAGGATACAAGGTTGTCTTTTACTGAGAGTCTACAAGTTAGTTTCGTGGGTCAAGTTCCCGGGAGCCTCTCCTATGGCAAGTCGCCATCAACTGTGCATCAAATCTTGATCATGAAGGGCCAGGGGAAAGCAGAAACAGGAATAGATGAATTACATGAAAAATTCCGTCCCGAGAGAGATGCAAAATCTGGAGGATTAGAAAAAACAGCTCGAGAACGGTTAGAGTAGAGGACTGTGGTCGCCAACCAACAGATATAAGGATGGTATTCCGAATGATTGAGTGAGTATCGTTCCTAGTTCCCACTTCATCTAACTGGTCATGCTTTGTTGGTCCTCATGTATAGAGATCACTATATAATAAAGGGATTCTCTTTTTTTAGGTTTAAATATGTAGCATTTGTGTTATATTTATTCCATCTATACTCACATCAAAGTTAAGGTACCATCTTTGTGTTCTGCATAATTATATCACGAGCTTCTGAAATTGTTATTTTATGGAATGCTCTTCACCTTCCATTAAGGTTTTACAAATGAACGTCTTGAAGTATACCTGTACTAATGTCTAAGTGGTTTGTGATCACCAGGTACTTAACGTGAAGAACCTTTTAGCTCTCTCTCCTAAAACAATTCTCACCGTGGGAAAATGTTGAGGAGGAATGGAGGGTAAGGAATGGGCAGTGATGGGTGGTGGGAAGGAATGAGCATTGATTGGTGGAAGGGCAGGAATGGGCTGTGAAGGTTAGTGGAGAGGAATGGGCGGTGAAGGGTGGTGGGGATGAATGGAAAGTGATGGGTGATGGAGTAGGTATGAGCAGTGATAAATGATTGGGAGGAATGGGTAGTGATGGGTGGTGGATGAAGAATGAGCAGTGATGGGTGGTGGGGAGGAATGGGTGGTGATTTGGTGGTGGGGAGGAATGGGCAGTGATGGTTGGCGGGGAGGAATGGGTGGTGGGGAGGAATGGGTAGTGATGGGGGAGGAATGGGCAGTGATGGGTGGTGGGGAGGAATGGACAGTGATGGGTTTTGGGGAGGAATGGGCAGTGGTGGGTGGTGGTGGTGATAAATGAGTTATGGTGAAGTGAATAAATGTAAATCTATCTCTGTAAAGTATTTACATATTTCATATACAGTTTATAAATACTGCACATAAATCTAATTATACGTAAAGTATATATATATAATTATATATATATAATTATATATATATATATATATATATATATATATATATATATATATATATATATATATATATATATATATATATATATATATATATATATATATATATATAGATATATATACACTTCATTTTTAGTCCATATAACATGCGGACTTTGAACATATAATGAACGTGTTATATGGACTAAAAATAAAGTATATATGGTACCTCGTGTTTCATACCAGCTGGATTCGGTAAATGCTACTGACATCCACATAAGCAGCACGGGCAGTTCCCAATGAGAGGTTCACGGCGCCATCAGCTCGATGAACAGGCTTTGTGTGAAATATCACATAGTCTAGAACTGCTTTTAGTGCTCTTGTGGTATGGTCGGTAGCATTCCCTGGTCCCATGCATTAGGTCCAGGGTTCGAGTCCTGGCTGGTGAGATCGTTGATTATATATATATTTATAGAGAGAGCGCGTGATCCCTCAGTTAACGAAATTTCGGTTAACGAATTACCTTCCACAAAAATATTAAATTCGGTTTAACAAACAAAAATTCGGTTAACGAAATTTTTACGAAATCGTGTCAACATGTTTCGCCTGCTCACCAGCTGGAATATTAGTCCGCTAATACAGTAATCGGTTCTAGGGCTTAAATTCGTTCCCATTTGAGTAAATATCAAGAAGGTTCTACTATTCAATAATTTTTCAAGTTTTATATTAAAAATTTTAGTCATTTTAACACATATTTAACATAATTGCAGTACAGGAAACTAGTTTTTGGTGTGCCAATCAGCCACTTGACTCACCCAGCAAGGCGTCAGTTTGTATCTCTGGTCAGTGGTGGTAGCATCTTACTTGTGACTCTCTTTTTTTATAAACTATTTTTACGTTTTTACAGTACAATTATTGGTCATTCTGAAATTTATACAGGTATTACATATTGACAATATATAGTGCAGTGCAGTGTTGATTTAAAGAAAATAATCTTAAATTACACCGAGTGAACTTAAAATTTTATGGGTGAAATGACGGTATGAAGCATGGGGTGGTTTCTCTTCCATCCCCACTTCCTTCTCTTCTCCCTTCTCCTCCACCCCCACTTCTAATTCCCATCATCATCATCAACCAGGAGCCTTCTACATACACACCTCAAAGTAAGTGTACTTTACTGCATTTATTTTTACTTTGTATGTAATTTTCGGTGAGCTGGAACCAATTACCCAAAATCCCATTGAAACAATGGATTCGGTAAACAAAAATAGATCAGATTGAACGGTGCCCACAGTAGTGTTAGAACTGATTAACTCTTCATTTCAGTAACCGACAGAGCTACGAGTTGCCATCTACTATTTCTCGTTACATTTTACCAATTAAAACATAAGCATGTTCTCAAATTTTCCTATGCTTAAGTAAAATAAAGTAGACAAAAATGTACGGCGACAGAAGTTTATATAAAAGCAAACTCAAATTATATTGATAAAACAACAACAACAACACAGACGATCAAACTGTGTGACGCCATTGTAACTCTTACAAGTACTTTATGTGGAAAAGCCAAACAAAAGTACGTAGTTGAATGATGTTTTGCTCAATCTTACATAAGGCGTGATAGGCTGCATGTCATGTATACTGTAGTTGAGGAACTTGAGGGCCGCTTGTGGGCTACGGAGCACTGTACCGGTTGAGCACCCATGGTCTAGGATAATTAGTGACCATCTCTCCCAATAGACTTGAAAAAAAATAAAATAAAAAAATAAAAAATGGTCTCGAAAAGGTGTCCAGTAGAAATCCGAGTCCAAAGATATCTAAGACTTCGATCGAGACCTGAAAAAACAGTCTCTAGACCTGTGTGTGTGTGTGTGTGGGAAATGGTAATACAGTACTGCAAATGCAAAATATTTATTCGAAAATAACAGCAGGTCTTTAAATGAACAGTTATAGTTTTGTCAAGAGGGGCAGCTTGAAGGGCGAAGTTTCTGCAAAATGTTTAATTGAAGGGAAAAATCCACAAATTGGAGAAGGGAATTTTTTTCAAGTTAAAATTACTGTAGGGTATTTAGAAGTAGTTGGGTTAGGTTAGGTTAGGTTAGGTTAGGTTAGGTTAGGCTAGGCTAGGCTAGGCTAGGATAAGACTACATAACATAGATTAGGTTAGATTAGGGCTTCATAACTTAGGTTAGGTTAGGAGTGCATAACTTAGGTTAGGTTTGGTTAGATTAGGTTATGTTAGTTTAAATTAGGTTAGATTAGGACTGCATAACTTAGACTGGGTTAAGTTGGGTTAGGTTAGATTAGATTAGGTTAGAACTGCATAACTTAGATGAGGTTAGGGTAGGTTAGGTTAGGTTACGATTAGAAACAAATTAGATGAGTCTTGAATCGGTCTGTTTTGTGGTGGATGTCATATTTTCCTCACTATTAACCACACCCATCTCATTTACCTGTACCCACCACCACAGTGCTTTAGTCAAATGGGATGGGACCAACACCCCCCCCCCCTCCCCATTAAGAGACTCCAACCTACTGTAACCATTAGGGTGTGGCGCCCCGAGTCTCAGTGGGCCAACAAGCTTTAACATCACCCCTTAATGATACCCTCCCCCCCTCCCCCCTCCCCGACCTATAGAGAATTGCCCTTGGATCATGCGGCGACTACAAATCAATACACTATCCAGCCAAGGTGATAGAGTGAAGCAAGGGTAGAGAGGGGTTAGGAGGATAGGGTGAAGAATGGGGAAGGGTGGGGAGGAATAGGAATGGAGGTTTTGGGATGAATAATCAAGGTGAGGAAGGAGGGGGGGGGGGATGAGGGGTGGAGAGGTGAAGGGGAGGAATTGTGTAAAGGTTAAGCTAGGTTAGGTTATTCAGCTGAGAACTCAAAATATCTCATAAAATTTCACTCTGAACCTAACCTAACCAAATCAGTATGCAATTTAAGCAACAAAATCGGACTTAACACATTATCTCTTAACATAATATATACTGTGGTATAATATAAATAACCTTTTAACATCTCATCATTCCCTATTACTCATCCCATCACTCCCTATTACTCATCCCATCACTCCCTATTACTCATCCCCATCACTTCCTATTACTCATCTCATCACTCCCTATTACTCATCTCATCACTCCCTATTACTCATCCCATCACTCCCTATTACTCATCTCATCACTCCCTATTACTCATCCCATCACTCCCTATTACTCATCTCATCACTCCCTATTACTCATCTCATCACTCCCTATTACTCATCTCATCACTCCCTATTCTTCACTCACTACTCGTTGAAACTTTCCCACGGTTCTGCAGTGTTTAAATGTAGTAAAATTAGATTTGTTTTTCTCATATTAATGTGTTTACTAAAGAACATTAACTCAGGTTAATTTATTGGTCATTAAAATGTTTGGTCACGAGAACTTCACGATGT